CATACCAAAAATCACGACAATCCGTCAACCGGTTCTTGAGTGATCATCCTTCGAAAATTTTTCAACAAATGCTCCTGCAGTTCCAGAACGAGCCGCTATGGGGCCCAAACTCATGTCACTTCTTCCCCACCTCAAGAGCTATCTACCAACCAAAATTCGTGACCCTAGCATGTCCAGATCGCGAGATATCAAAACCGGAAGTTCTGCTGCAGTACCAACAAAAGCCGCCAGGGGGCCCATAATCTAATCATTTCTAGGTCTCATCAAGACCTACCCACCTACCAAGTTTCATGACAATGCATATTAGGCTTCTTGAGTTATGCTGTTCACAGACAGACGGACAGACAGACAGACGGACAAACGCTACTGAAAACATAACCTTCTTGGCGAAGGTAAAGAGTGCAAAAGACGAATGAAGAGGAAAAGTGGTGATAGAGCGTTGTGTGTATTTGTAAAGCCCCCCTCCCCCAATTCTTTCTGCATCAATCTTTGCAAACCACGTGGGTAATAGCTGTGTTTGTCACAAGAATAGTTACCGATATTTCGCTTCATTACCCACAGTGACCGGGCCACATGGGGAGTTTCTGTTGCTATTATTGTTGTTGTTGTGCCACGGTAACGTATGTATTGACCGGCATAGTCACACACTAGTCCCCGCCCACTTCGGTAAAGTCTGCCCGTGCGTAGCGAGCTTATCTGTAGCTGGTAGTGGTAGCCGTCAACACAAGGTCCAGAGTATGAAGTTCACTACTGCAAGGACACACAGCAGGTGCGAGGACACCTGATACAGGTGTGTGCTCACCTGTCCGCTGGCTGTACAGGTGTGTACCGTTCCCGTCATGGCACACCTGCGGGAGGACGGTCAGGTGTGGTGGGACGACAGGTGGGAGAGGCGCCGGCAGAAGTATAACCTCCCCCCGCTCTACATGTGAGTAGTACACGGTCCCATATAGGTCAACCACGTGCAGGTTTAGAAAGCCTATAACTAACAAACAACTCTATCACTAGTGGGCTCTCTCCCGCCCATCTTATCTGTAGTCCGACGACGTAGACTTGCCCTGGCAGGGCATGTTGTTCGTAGTAACGAACCAGCTGGTAGACTAGTACAGTGGCTTCCCACTGGGAGACGTTGAGTGGGACGTCCTTATACTACACTTTTGTCCATGCTAGAGAGAGACACTGGTCTCGCAGGGCCTACATTAGTGTCCGCTATGAGGGATAGGACATACTGGAGTAACTTTATCAAGTGTACCTCACCGGATTAGTATAATCCGGAGGCATGATGATGATGATAGCTATCTTTTAGGTCTATACAGGTGGCATGTAGCGTTTCAAAACATGTTTAATGTCTGAAATATACATCGGGTTAGTAGATAATTGATAGACAACATTTATCTTGAGTTAGGAGCTAAAAATAGTTGAGAAGCTACAGAAAAAGCCAACCAGAAGAGTGTTGTTTAGGTTGTGTTATAAGAATTTTATTTTTCAAAACCATGTTGAGTTCTTGTACTCTCCAAGCAGAGGTTGTGGGGGAAAGATCGTTACATTTTTATATATGGCCGTTTTTTTGTCCTGACCCCTACCGTCGGTGGCCGGCGACCTTCTCTGGCAAATGGATACTGCCTGGCCAATTTGATACTGTCTTTTTTTGAGATTAGAGTTCTTGCACAATTTCGTCCAATAGACCAATTTCATATGAAGCCCTGTAATTTTGGTTCCACAAGTTATTTGAAGAATATTGACAAAACGTTGTACAGAGTCAAAGTCCCGAGTGTTTGAGTTAAACCAAAGTGTGGGATACTTGACACTTGTATTTGCTGTATCAAAATTAAACGTGGTCGTATGCAATTAATGTCGGCCACCGCCACAGCACACTGGGGCAAAAATGCGCAAACACTGATATCATCACCGAGAAAAATGAACAGTCCAAACAGTGACCTGTCACATTCCTAGTGCCGGGTCGTTGGTTTGCCTAGGGACACACAAGTATGCATGTTCGGCGCTTTTAGCCTCCATAGCATGCCAAAAACTGGAGGGTTGGGGGGTTCTTCAGGTAGCCTGGTATCCAGTCTGATCGTGGTCGGGGCCGTAAGAGCTCTGTCCCGCCCGCCTCACATAGGTTTCCCGGTGTGTATTTCACGAGAGATTAATTAGCCCTCCCAATCGTGTTGGGGGGAAACCAAATCCCCAAGCATACTGTCTCTTATTAGCGTAACTCTCCTACCGGGACGGTCTGTTGTACTGGGCGGGGGAAGCTATTAGAGCCCCCGAAGGCACAACCTGCCCGAACACCCCAATACTCCCAATCACGATCAGACTGGATACCAGGCTATTCTTCAGGGTCTTTGGGAGCTTTTATGTGCTATTTTTTTGATTGCATGTAGACAACATAGCCGGCCTGGTTGAATTACCTCCGTTTTTTTTAGAACTGGGCCGATCAGAAAACAGCCGAAGACCACCAAACCCCCAGTTCTATAAGCCTGCTACGGAGGCTAGCCGCTTTTAGGTTGGAAGGAGAGACTATGTAGATATTATAACCATAATAACGGACGTATATTGATACTATAAAGCCAGGTATACACACCGACGAGCTAGAAAAGGATATTTACGTTTGGAATATGGCAGGTGTCCTCTAGATCACTAGGCAGTTTTAGAGATCTGTCTCGTGTATATATGTTCGCATGTCACTGAGGCCTAGCCTCCGTAGCAGGCTTATAGAACTGGGGGTTTGGTGGTCTTCGGCTGTTTTCTGATTAGCCCAGTTCCAAAAAAAAGGGGGTAATTCAACCAGGCCGGCTATGTTGTCTATCTGCAATCAGAAAATAGCACATAAAAGCTCCCAAAGACCATGAAGACCCCCAAAACCCACAGTTTTTGGCATGCTGTGGAGGCTAACTGAGGCCCGTCCAATGTAAGGGATAGATTTTCATTTCAGTTCTAGATCTACAATGAGAATTTTGAGGGCGATCTTAGTCAATTCTGGAGATCAACAAATTCGGCCTCAGATGGTTGACAGTGTAACACTGGTTTAAGGTAGCCTCCACCAGGCCTTTCTACGGGAATACGGATCGTAGAATTCGGCAAAAAAGAGAGTAAAATTGGCGACGGGAGTCCGGTCGCGGGAAGGTCCTAGTAGTTTCTTTCCCTCCGTAACTGCGCGGCCAGTCAAACCTACAAGGCGGCCAAACTCCCCTGGCAATTATTCTCCTATATATAGCCAGCGTAGTTAGTCTGGTAGAGACTAGGTTTAAGGATCTTATGCTTTGTTTTCTAGAACAGAATCTGTGCAACTTCTTCTCTCAAAATCATCGCAACACAATTCACAGCCTGGCGTACCTGCATTCTTTCCCTGTTTGCTAAGGTGAAAGAACACTTACGTACGCAAACAAATAATGGTCGAATGAAAGCCTATTACTGCACCATCGCGGTCCCACAGGGTAAAGTACAACAGACATAAATCAACATAAAAATACACCCAGTTTTGTTAGGACTGAATTTATTTTATCTTTTTTAACGGTGTCGCTCAATGCAAGGCCAATTATTTTTGGCCACTTCTAGGCATAGAGCTAGAGGTACTTAAGTGAGTATAATGTAGTTATGTCAGGAGATGGCGGTGGACCTTTGTTTTGAAGCTTTGTGTATTGTAGTCGGACGGAAAACATCTGTTTGGAAGAGAGTTCCATAATTTTGCAGTCCGGGGAAAGAAGCTGTTGTTGTAAAATGACTTGGAGACAGGTATGTTAACGGTGTATTGATGAGAACTGGAAGAGAACCTAGTGGCACGCTGAAAGGTGGCCAAATTATATTTGTTATAAGTTATATTTTCCAAATTATAGAAGAGGTGTAATCTCTCTGAGTACCGGTATTCCTTCTAGTTGCATTGTTTATTTTCAATCACTTCGAATCACACTGTTGGGTGGTTTGATCTCTACATTTAATTCTGTTCTTTTGTTTACTGCTATTTGCCGGTGGGCACGCTTTCTCTACTAAAAAAGTAAAAACTCATCAATCAAAATCAAGCTGAAAAAGGCAACAACACAGGAACAGTACTCGTACATGCTACAAAAGATCTCAGGGATTGTGCTAAGCTATCACGACTGAATGTTGTATTTTTCATAAAATAACAACATGAAATTTTGATACACTAGTCCACCTAACGAAGCTATTTTGGTTGTGATCCTGTCGTCCAGTTGTCCAAACACAGGGAGATTACAGGCTAATAGACTCTTTTGTTTTTTGTCTAACATAATCGGCACATCACTGGTGTATTCTAGAGCTTTGCTTCGATTATGTAATTCTAGAAGTAAACTGTTTTCTGAGTTGTTGTGTTGAAGTCACACTCTTCATACGACAGGATTGCGACACGTTCCACAAATTGATGGTATTATGTCGTAAAAAAAACACAACTGTCTTGCGACAGTGGATGCTGTCGTAAATCCTTGTTGACGGTCGGAATAAACTGAAACCTTCAACAAAGTCTTACGACGAACAGTGTAGCAACTTGTATATTTCCTATTACATCTGACGATTTCTTTCATCTTATTAAGAGATTAGAAGCTAACAATAGCCCCATTTACTTCCTCATTGTTCTATGGCCTGACGGACGGGTTATAAATGGGAGATTTGTGTACAAGGAGGAGTTCTAATTATCTAATCTCCACCCAGCAGTCATTATAAATACTAAGACAACGCCCGCCATTTTGATTTGGGCTCATCCATTTAGGCAATGCGGGGAGGGGACACTATTGACCATAGACCTGGGATTGGTAGGTCGTAGTTATGTATGTGGGCTAGCAAATGCAAATACATAAATGCAGTACATAAATGATACACACACACACACGCGCGCGCGCGCGCACACACACACACACACACACACAGACATACACACACACTCACACGAAAAAAAAAGAAAAAAACGTTGAACTCCCATGCGTGTAATTGAGGTATAGGAACAAAGTTTGAAATTGCATATCTTTCCTCCACATATATCCGTCCAGGGAGAAGGTTCGGCGGCGGTTGGCGAAGCGGTACGGTTACAGTCTTGGGGAGGACCCGGCCCAGGCCCCGCAGCACCTCCCGCCCCTGTCTCCCTGCAGACGGACCCTGTCCGCCGTCCACCGGGAGGACCAGGCTCTAGTACCGTCCCAGCAACAGGTGGCTGGAGATGACGTCAACCCAGGCGATGGGGAGGAGGTGAGCAGTTCTGTTCTATTCCGCTAGGCGGCGTGGCAACATGCACCTGCTACATGATGCCAAGCGTTATTATCCCAACAACAAACCTACACCACAACGCGCAAGGAAGCACAAAATAGGTGTCTTTATTACATAGATTATACCCCCGAGTTCATTATATATATATATATAGAAACAGATTATTTCAGACAGTTACAACAATTTCTCCATCCTTTCGTCATTTAGAAGATCACAAAAAAACTGCATTTCTACAAGATCACAAAACCCACTAAGTATGCAGAATGTGGGACTATTCATTATCCACTGCCTTCAAAGATCGAAGAAGTCGAACCCCATAATAGCTAGCGTAGTAGTAGAAGTAGAAGTTTTTTTCCAGACAGTTGTTACCTGTCTCCTGTTACTGTATTGCAATGAGTATTATACTTGATTGTAAAAGCAATTAGCCTTCGGGCATGATTTTGCGAATACACACACACACACACACACACACACACACACACACAGCCCCCCGATTTCATTATATAGATCCCCCCTCGCAAGGACACCCCCTTTTCCCGCGCAAAGTACGACCGACTGAAGGCGAAGTGAAGCAGTGAATCTACCCCCTGCCCCTTCCTTATTCCCCAGACTTATTCTCACATTCCCTTCGCGTTTCCCTGTCACCCCAGGTGCGTTTGTTTGCCCATCACCTCCCAGGTTGTCTGGTGACCGGGCAGAGACAATGACGTATTAATGATGCCCAAATATGTCCGACAGGGCACGGCAGATAGTCGCCATGGCGAGACATGTACAACTGGAACAGTCTGGGACAATGTGGGAAAGATTAGATAAAATATTACAGCAGTATCGGGGCTACAGGATTCTCTTCTTATCAATCAAACTGCTACAGAACAAAAGAAAACCTTTGGGTTATATTCAAATCCTTGCCCTCTTTTTATCGCACAGTGGCACAGTGAAATGTAGAAATAATACCAAATGATATTGGAATTCTGATAAAACAAGAACAGTTTCACTTCATCTTAAGAGTTCTGCTAATATACCAATGCCTATATGAGTATGAAACGCAGGTAAATATCATGGAAAATATCACGATTGTGGAACTTTCGATACAGACACAGGAGGAGAGGAAGAGAGAGAGAGAAAGAGAGAGAGAGAGAGAGAGTGGGAGAGAGAGAGAGAGGAGGGAGGGGAGGAGGGAGGAGAGAGGA